TTGTTGATCCTTGTCTGTTTTTCTCTACGAAATATATAGTCAAGATCCCAATTTCTTGAAACAACATATATTTTTCGCTTGGAAGACATGAGGGTTAGTTAAAAGTTAGTTTGATCCATGAAATAGTTGGAATTTCACTGTTATTTGTTATCACTAACCATTACAAATACAGCACATAATATTAAAAAAAGTTAATTCCTACTTAAATCAACAAAGAAACTTTTTATTTTAGTTACTTTTTATTAAACAGTAACAATTAATATAAATATGTATATACATATAACAGAATAATAATATTAAGTGACAAAATAGAAATCTATTTTCCTTTTTCTATATATGATGCTGGGAAATTTTGCTTGTTTATTACTATTTATTCATTAATTAAATTTAATTATTCTAATAAAATAGAATAGTAAAAAAGAAATCACAGTCTTAGAAATTGGAACATCCCAGGTGGGATTCGAACCCACGACATTTGGATTAGAAATACAACCTGCTACCATTGTGCTACATGAACACAACGAATGATTTTCCTTTCTATATATGCTGCTTCACTCTAATTTTTGTTTGTTACTATTTATTCATTTTTCAATTTAATTAATGAATTTATATGTTTGAAAAAAGGCTGTATTAGCATTAAGTGTCATCCACAACAAGTTTTAAAAAATGTATTTGAACTTGAATGAATGAACAGAAAGTATTTTATTGACGATTGAAAATTTGAACAACATATATATATTATATATATATATATTTCTCCGCGGTGGCGCACGCAGCAGTCCCTGGGGCCCGGACCCCCAAAAGCCCTGATTTTTTTTCCGATTGATTATAGTTCTAAGTATATAGTACGTAAAATTTAATTATGTATTTGTTATTAATGATTTAATTTTATTAATTAATGCCACTATTTATAGCTAATATCAGGTTTTTACTGCAAAGTTTTCGTTCCCGAAAAATCGACAAAAATCAAAAGGAACATGATACAAGAATGCAACCTTCAAACCTACAGGACCCCCCTTGAAAATTCCTGTGCGCTACTGATACATTCTATATCAACTTATTTATTGCACTGAGATTTCATGTACTTTGGCCTATTTAAGTGCAATTTTAGGTGTAAGTTACCTTTATCTTGGTAATGGATCTAGATATTCCTATCCATTACTTTCTTTCAATAGATTTTGCTCAGTATTACTTTTTATATAAAGGAAGGTTGGCTGGCCAAAAACATGTTCAAGTCCACTTTTATATAAATTATTTATATATTGAAGCTGTTCTAAGTCAGCAATGTTTATAATACCGCAGCATCCATTTTATAATTGTTAACTTCGGTTACCGTGTCCTTCATGCGTGATTTTCCTACTGTCTATGTGTTTTTCGAATATGAGTTGATGTTATATATATATATATATATATATAGTATGGTATATATATATATATATATATGCAGGTTTCTTCCTTCCACGTCTGTATTAGGGCCAACGTCAACCCTGGTGGTTTTATTATTATTATTCTACAGTGTCAAAATTTCTGCTAAAAAGTGAGGGTTGATCCATATGAATTGCTAACCCTAATTCAGTTTAATAACTTTAGAAACCACATAATAGGTTCCAGTTTAGTCCAAAAGACTTTTTGTGCATCTATTTTTACAGTCTGGGTGAATTCCAATTTTTTCCTTCTTTAGCACTGTAGTTTCTAGTACTTCTTCACTTTTATTTTATTTTACTATATATATATATATAGGGTGAGAGTGAACTAATAGTGGGAATTAAAATATCCACTACATCCATAGCAAAATAGATATATTTGATGGCTTGATTAATAGCATTTATCACTAAATTTTTATACATTGTTCTTACATAATTGAATTTGTTAGTGTAATGGGCCATGACCGGGGCACTCAGAAAGGTTCAGTGGACCACATACTGCCCGCGGGCAGCAGGTTGAGTATCACAGAATCAACCCTTTGTACTTTCCTATTGTAAGAAAGTAAGAAATATAGTTCAGTTCATTGTTTTGTTTATTTTTATAAAACGGGGACACAATGGATGTTTATTCACTAGAAATAGTAGAATAAACATTATTAGTAGTACATTTGTTTATTCAATGAAGTTAATAAAAATAAAAGGGAGTTTCACAAACTGGTAAAACAAGTCATAACTGCACTTTAAGCCAATATGAATAAAACAATTCCATGTTTACATATGTATACCAATAATTCACTATCATTTCCATATAAAGTAGTAAAAAAAGAAAAAGGATTGGGTAAAAAAAGGAAAATATTATACCCTTCCGATTTCCAAGTTGCCTATGGGAACTATTATTTTACTAGTGAAGTAAAACGACATGTTCGAGAAGGCTTTATCGCTGAAAAATAAAAAAAAAATAGAACCTCCGCCATCTTGTTTGATATTCATTTCATGACGATGGAAGAATAAAGGCGATTTGTCATCCCTGATAGTATTTTTTTTTTAAATAAAAAGAAAGAAAGAAGAAAGAAAATGGCGAACGAACGCTCCAAGACATAAAATGATTTTTTACCCTCGTTTTCGTGTTAATGCCATAAAAAAGGTTTACAAAGAAAATGATGGCATTGCTTTAAATCCTCGAAAGCTATTTGTCACTGAAAAATAACGTCGTTTTATGCAGTTGAGACACGTACTGTAAAACAACAATGCCCATATTCGAGTCTTTGAATATTAATATAATGAGTGATATACTGCTTCTGTATTGTCCGGGCCGAGTCTTTTTCGTAGTTTCATTTGTTGCTGATCTAAGACTCTTAAAATTACTTATTCAAAATGGGTCTATGCTTTTGGTAATACTATTGATATGGGAGAAATAAATGTGCTTTGGGAGTTTTTACAGTTCTTCCGATAGTTCTGTATTGTATCCATACACATATATCTTCTCCAAAAGACATTCATTTTGATACTTGAGGCTAGTAGGTTTTTCTTTTTATTAACTTTTAATATTGTATTTTTATTGCAAGTACATGGAACAAATTGCTTTAAAAATGGTTAAAATAAATCATGACGTATTTAGCAGATGTTCTTTTACACTTGTATACTCAAATGAAAACTTATCTGATTATAAATTGAAAAGGAATTATACGTATTTCTTAATTATTTGGATATTTAATGGGTTTTTTTGGTATAGTTATAGTTTGGTATAGTAATTTGTTAATTTAATAGTTTATTACTATTATTATCACTTTTTTTTTTAAATTCGAAAACGGTTATCAGACTTTTAAAATATGAGCTGTTCTAAGTCCAAACTGCAGCAACGAACCTCTATATTGCGAATTTTTTCTATAGCGAACTTTTCCTGAACCTTGAAATATTTCAATACGATTTTCTTCGTGAAATAACCTCTCTATATCAAAGTGCATTTTCTATAATACGAACTTTTTCTCTTGTGATTCAATTTTTGTTCTCCCTTTTTGTAAGGTATGTCTCTGAACATTTCAAGTTATTCTCTCTGTAACACATTTTATGGTGGTCATAAATCTTCAAATGATTTTATTAGGTCCCAACTCGCCAAGAACAATTGTTCTGAATGTTTCATCCAAGAAATGCAGCCTTTAACCCCCATTGCCCAATTCACTAGAAACATCTTCGATATCCACTTTCACCCTCAGTGGAGTTGTCCCGTATCCTCTTATTCTTATTATAAAATAATGTATGTTTTATTACTTGTATGCTTTAAATTATAAAATGTCCTTAAAATTCATTAATTTTAGAAAAAATCATTTTCTTAATATTGAAAATACAGTGAATTCGACGGGTTTTTTTTCTATTTTTCCTTGCAGTTTTTCTTTCTTTCTTTCTTTTTTGACGGGTAAGATATATAAAATAAACATATATTAATTTTAAAAAAAGGTGTGAATAATTACTTTTTTTTAATATATATTGTTTATGAATTTAAAATATGTTTTACATGGTTTATAAAGTATATTAAAAAATGAACCTCTATAAAACGAATTTTCCATATAACGAACCTTTTACCGGGATTTAGCGACTTCGTTATATAGAGGTCCCACTGTATAAAAATCCTTTAATATTATTTTCTTAATTATATTGCATAATACCAACGATAAGACTTTTTTCTCTTCAAATCTATTTGCATACGTCGGTGCTGAATGTTTAGTTTTTCATTTTGAAGTTAAACTTTAAAATGATTAATTAAATTATAACTTGTTAAGTTGTAGCTTAAGTTGTAGCTACCTTTAATTTCAAAATACTTTACATGATCAAATACAATACACTCATCAGGATCAGCCACACTCACTTTGCTTCTCTCCTCTGTAAAACCTGTTTTTCCTTGAGAATGGTAGGACAGGGAAGTTAGCTACCAGATCGTAACTGGAAGGTTGAAATTGGTACCGTGTTGTTTTATTCCGTCGAGATAAATCAGAGATCGGCAAACTTTTAGCCATGGAGTGCCAAAAAAAAACCAATATGATTCAGCGTGCCACTCAGTAGGACATTCTTGAAACAATTCGATTTCCGTGATAATGCATGCAGTGTTAGAGAATAGAGGTCAACAACATAAGTGTTCTGTTTTATTATATATAAGTTGTTCGGGCTAAAAGTATCCCAAAGTAATAATGACTTATTATTACGGAACTACCCAGCAGAATGTAAGACACATGGCAAGTCATCTCTCACGTTGGCATTGTTGCGAAAGTACGTGTACCGAAATTAGTGTTGATTTTGAAGTAATAATTTCAAATCAATCCATCCATCTCTGAAAAGTATGTTATACATTAGAAAGCATTTTATAAGTTTGTTTTATTACATAAACTTTAACAAAGCAAAAAACATTCTTATATTTTTGAAGTTATACTTCTTTTGGGGCGTTAGAGAAATAGGATGAGGGTAAATTTTTACAATGCGCGCGCACCTCGTCACGGATGCGAAAATCCTTTGTCAAGAAATATACAGACAGCAAATCTTCCGCCTTCGAAATTCTCAGAAAAATATTCTTTTTCCCTTCCTGAAAGGGGACCCGGGTTTGGCCGGACCTCCCGATCTGCAGTCGAATGCTCTACCACTGAGCTATACCCCCGCGTAGCGAACCTTTGCTTTGCGTTCCGTAGGAACGGATAGGAAAATGCTTTGTCTAGAAATATGCAGAACGGGGCAGATCATTTTCCCCCCTTCGACCCCTCCCCATATTATTTGTCCTATTGTCCTAAACGGGGTGTTTAAATTTTTAAATCGTGATTATTTTCAGGTTTGGCTGGTCCGATTGACTGAGGGTTTGTATCGTTCAACTCTGTCGTGACCGCCTTTCGTCCTGCCCAGCTTGCCCTGCTAAAGATTTTTAGAAAGATTTTAATCTTGTTACGCCAAAGAAGTATAACTTTTTACGTGCGTACATAAGTACACACACCTTTTTTTAATGTGAACTATTTAAGTATTTACAATATAAATATATTCCATCTTAAAATATTGTCACTTATGTTGTTTTCAATGTAAGTGATAAAAAAATTTTCAGCGATCATTTACTCAATACAAACAATTATATTTCACTTATTTTCCAATCTATTTGAAGAAATAAGTTTATGAATAAATAAAAATATGATTAATTTTCCCAAATCATTAACTTTTGTCTTTTGTAAAGTCAGTTAATGATTTCTGGAAATGGTATAAAAGTGTTTATTTATTCCCTTGATAACAATTAGCATAATCAAACAAAGACACTTGAGTGAAAAAGCATTTTAAATCTTCCTTTTCGAATTCATTTATAACTTGACGGCGAATCCACTTTTAAGACTGATAGATAATGTTAAACCTGAAAGAAAAAAAACTCTTTTAAATAACAAAAATGTTTTATCGCTTTGTAATTAGCCATTCTACAAAGATCTGCCATCATAGGATGATCTAGCGGAAAAGAACGAAAATCAGAAAAAAAGTAACAATAAGTAAATAAATAAAACAGCATTCGAACATCACAAGAGAGATGCTTTGTTGCCAGATTGCCAAAAAGTTAGATAGGATAAAGAAGACGAGCTAATAAATAAGTGATCTCATGCGTAAACGAATACTCATTTAGTTTCTCTCCGTTGGCAACAGAAGTGAAGATCGTCTGCTACATATAGATTAAGTAATTACTGATAAAATAACGTACTTTTTCCGACTGTGCTTATCGTAAATAAGAATCGAAGAAAACAAATGGTTTATCGTCTGTTTCGAAATTGACAATGTTTTTTTCTCTTTTTATGCTTCTATTTCTTTTTTGGAGTAATGGAATAGGAGAAGTATGACTGATAACAGTTGAAGCATTTATGTTAAACGAAACATAAATTAAGTCAAGAGTTTTTCTTATTTTGAAGATACATTAAGATGAATAGGATGTTATGGTCCATTCGTTTATTAATGTATAGCAAGATACTATCACACTTTGTAGGAAATAAAAAAAAAAATGTATAGCAATGCACTTTTGGAACTGTAAGTATAACCGAGAAAATTGATGAACTGGTTTAAGAGAAATAGATAGCGAAGTGAATAAGATAACGCCATACATAAAATAATTTTCTCAATTTATCATAACTGGTAGTTAGAAGTAAAATATCCATTAGCGTTCTTTTTGACATAGATAAATATAATTGCATTTCGCATAACGTATCTATTGTTTTCGATGTTAGGAATATTTTCTTGCTGATTATTCCATTGTTAGATATCATTTTGAGCATTCTGTTTAAAAATTAGTGATGTTATGATAAGGAATAGTTATTCGTAGATAAAAATATTAATGTGAATAGAATAAATGTCTAAAAACAATACGGTGTAACATTTAATCAAAGATATAAAACTCATTATTTAATAGTGTGCGAAAGTATTTCGAAGTGAATTGTCATTTGGTAAAATGGTAATGTTAATAAGAACTCAAAATATAGTTATTCTGTTATCCATAAATAAAAATGAATATAAAGCTGATGAAACAAACATATTAGATAAAATATCTATTGTTGAGAATGTTTTAATTTTTAAAAATGCCGTTTTTATAATTCGCAGATTTGATTTGGATTTATTATATGAAGTTCTGTTACGGAGAAAAGCTTTTTAACTTCTTAAGTAACTTATTTAAAACTCATATATTCTACTGAATTAATTTTAGATGGATAATTTTTCAAATGAATTTGCTTGTTTACTCCTTTTTTACACATTTACGTTTAGATGTAAAGCTAAACAAGAGTTTCTAAGTTTCATCTAATTTGTTTTGGCCGTTAAATATATGTTTATCAATCATCCAAAACTTGTTGATTAACCCTATGCTTGTATCAATGAAACTATCCGGAAAAAAATCCGTCAATAATTCTATTTTTTGTAGATAGAACTGTAAAATGTATAAAAATATATTTCTTGAGATTCAAATCTCCGTTTTCCATTCAGTATTTTCGTTTACAATAATAGCATTTTCACTGGTTTTTTCTATTTAAAAATATTATATATTAGTGCTTTAAGAAGACTTTACTATTTCGAACCATGATTTTAAAAAAACGTATAAATGAATACATTCGTTTTGATATTTAGTGTCAGTTATAAAATAAGATATACAGATAAAATTGTTTTAAGAATATTATCAAAAAAAAAAATATTTAAAATGTGAAAAAATAGCAAAAATGGGAAGAGAGAAGGACATATTTTCAAAACATTCTCCTTTTATGAAAAATGCTTCTAAATAATAATACTTTTCCTATATATAGCTAGGATTTCTACACAGAAGTTTAACTAGGTTTTTTGGAAAGTCGTGATTAATCAAAATAGCAACTGGAGTTTTTTGTAAAAATTGCTCAATTCTGTTACTTTAAAATATGGATAAGTTCGGTTCTAAATTATTTTTTTTTCAAAATTCCTATGTCAGGCTCTGTACAGAAACATTAGCTATATATAGGCAAAAGATAATAGTTATAGAAGCATTTTTTTTGAAAGGAGAATGTTTTAAATACATGTATTATTTTTTTAAAAAAAAATTTTAAAAAATTTTTCTTGAATAATATACAAAACAATTTTGTATGTACTTTCCATTTCAAGAGACAGTAATGTATCAAAAAATTATTATTTTCTTTTAAAATTACCTTTCAAACGTATTCCCACATTATAGCCACAGAAAACCAAAATTTCGCCTTTTTTTTTCCCCGTTTAAAATTATCTAAATTTATAATTAACAATAAATTTTTAATTAAAATTTTTTTAATTGAAATATGTAAAAACTAAATAAATCTTTCACATGGGTAACTGAATATATTAAAATAAAATTATTTTAATACTAAAACAAATAAACCATATGATACATCCAATGCTAGATATATCAAGCCATAAAATAATTTTAGGAAGAGTTAAGGGAAAAAATTGTTTTTTTAATCCCAATTTTCAAAATATAAAAGGTTAAAATAAATTATATTAAAATGTCAGAAAAGTTCATCATTTTGCCCGCCATTTGTTAAAATACAAATTCTAATTAGAAGCAGAAAGCATTTCTTCTTTTTCTTTTAATTCTTTCGTATCTTTAAGCACAGTTCATATTCTGCAATTTTCGATTTCTAACTTCTTATTTACCTTGGTTATTTATTTGCTGAAGGGGACAGAAAGTTTATTATAATCAGCTTCACCATTAATTTAACTCAGGTGTACATGGGAAAATTTTTCTCTTTTCCCCCACCCTTTGAATGTGCTCACAAGTTCTCGAGAAAATCGTTTGCTCGTTTTTTAAACTCCCGAAAAACTTAAAAGATTCTGCCTTTTGGCCCCTGTTTTTTTTTCCCTTTTTCGTTAGCAGTCTGCTGCTGTTTTTCTTTTATGGACTGATGAGATTATTCTTTTTTCTTTTCTTTTTTCCCTAAGAAAACGTTCTCTATCAAAAGCACCATTTTTTTTTCTTAGACACGTTTCCCCTTTTCTTTTTAAATTCAAAAAAAGATCCATGGTCGCAAGGGAAAAAAAAAAAAAAATTTTTAAAAAAGAACCCCGAAATTTGCAACCAGTGAAAATTCAAAACCCTTTTTTTGGCTTTAAATTTTTAATTTTTTTAAACCAAAGTTTTTGAAAAAGTTTTTTTTTTTTTTTTCCTCCTCAAAAGACTTTTTTATTTCCTATTTTATTATTCAAGCTATCAAAACGGTTGACTGCTTTTTCTAAATGACACCGGAAAATCTTAAATTTTATTTTTCCGAAATTGGATTTTTATCCTGTGTTGTGTAATATGTTTTTTTTTTTATTTGTTTATTCTCTGAAAATAGTCATTTTCGGAGTTTTCAAAAGAAAAATGAAAAGTTTCGTTTATAATTTGAATATTTAACGTAATTTAAAAAAAACCTGTTTGGGAGAACCCATTCATTATTTTATTTTTTTTTTATTTTTTCTAATTAAACCAAAAAAATTTTTTAAATATATATATGTATTTCTTTTTTGGTTTGGAAATTTTTTTCTACGACTTTTTTCTAACATTTTAAAAAAATGGCATGGGGGTTTCTAACAAAATTTTTTGATAAGTTACATTTATGAAAATAGTGAAAAATTTAATTTTTATCAACTTGAAATATTAACGGAAAATTCAGAAATTTTTAATATTTTCAAGCTAATAAGGGAAAGGGAAAATTTAAAAGTCAATTCCTTTTTAGGGGCAAGAAAAAAATTTTTATTTAGTTTATTTTTTTTAAATAATTTCTATTAATATAAACCCTTTTTTTCATTTTGAGAAAAAAATTTTTTAAAATGTGGGAAAAAAACCTTTTTAAAATTAAATTAAAAACCTTTAAAAACAAACAACTTTTAATTACATTTTTTTTAAAAAAAGTTGAAAAAAAAAGGTAAGAATTTATCTTTTTAACCCCGTGTAAAAAAAAATACTGACGTTTTAACCAGCATTTTTTTTTTTTTAGGCCAAATTAAATATCCATCACAAAATTAACAAAAACCGTTTTTTTCTAATGGTGCTGGGGCATTTTGAGAAATAATACCAACTGAAATATATCTTAAACTATAAAATTAATTGTTTTAATTAATAATTAATATCTTTAAAAAATGTATTATTAAGTGTCATCCACTCAACAAGTTTAAAAA